CCCAGCTACTTGGGAGGCTGAGGCAGGAGACTCGCTTGAGCCCAGGAGTTGGAGGTTGCTGTGAGCTGTGATGCCATAGCACTCTACCCAGGGTGACAGCTTGAGGCTCTGTCTCAAAAAAAAGAAAAACTACTTTCTTAAGTACAGAAAACAAAATGGACATCCTTTATATAATAAAATTTCGCAATGAACAGTGCCCCCCCCCCCAAAAAAAAGAGTCCTGGGAACTATAAAGTTGTTTTGGGCTAGGAAATCTGTATATAAAATTTATTTCCTTGAAATTTTTTGGCACTGAGGTAGGACTTGATTTGTAGAAATGACACTTCCCCCATCCTTCTTTTAGAGCAGTGAGGGGGAAGTAATACGATTTGAGACAGAGCTTTGTCATAGTCTTTTGTAAAGATCACCAAAGGGAAAGCCCATTGTCACCGCCCTTCAGTTACTTGCAAATAGGAGACATGCTCTCCTAAGATGAAGAGGAGGCATCATTGGACGTCACGTGTCAGCTTAAATCATTAAATTGTGTCTTGCTTTTTTTCTCCCAGGACTCTAATAGAATTCAAGTTGAAACAGACCTGGGCTCACAGGAGATATTTCTAAATACGTCAGTTGTGCTTTTCTGCCACGTATAGACACAACTCTGTCATTTTGCTGGCATAATGGCCGGCAAATCTCCACAACGGATATTCACATTTTGGTGTAGATATAAGTTAAACTGAATCTCAGTTACCAAGATACCAAAACAGGATATTTGAACAAACGAAATTAAGGAGCAAAAAGAATGAATATATTAACTCTTTTTTTTTTTTCTGCAGTTTTTGGCCTGGGCTGCATTTGAACCCACCACCCTCTGGTATATGGGGCTGGCGCCCTACTCCTTTGAGCCACAGGTGCTGCTCTGTATTAACTTTCTTATCTTCTCAGATAACCAACATGATACCCTGCTGCTCTCTCTAGCTATTTAATACAGAAAACGAATGTGATCAGGAGACATGTGGAACCCGTAGAGTCTAACTGAACACACAGAAACTTGTCCAGTGGCTAATGATGGTAACTAGTACAACAGGTGCAGGCACTGGGAAAGACAGTGGTTCATTTTGAGAAAGGGGTGTGGATTTTGTTGTCATAAGATCCAAATCTTTGAAACAGAGGATTGGGAATCTGTGGTTGATTTGGAATCTATAATTGCACATGACGTTTGCCCCTTCTTAACAATTCAAACCTTTTTACTCCTCAAATCAAATGGCTAACGAAGCCCATAGGTTGTAGAAGTGACTGAGACTAAATAGAGAATCAGTAAGTGTACGTGGCATATACACATGCATGCGTGTATATCTGTATGTGCATACGTAGATGTATGTACCTATGAATGCATGCATTGCCTATGCACACAGTTATGTATGTAGAGACATATTTATATATATATGTATCTCATACGTACGCATATATATTGAAGATAGACACATGCATATATGAAGATTGTAGGTACATATATATATGTACAGAAATAGATATACTGTACATATACATACATATGTACATCGGGATTATATATACACATTTGTATATATATTTAACTGGTTGTGGCACAGAGAGCTAGCTCTTCAATTGGATTACAAAACTTAAACCCCAATGTTACAGCATTTACAGGAGTCAATACCTCTCGGATTAGGACAACTGTAAAAATTAATATTTTCAAGAAAACCTAGCATATCGTACTTATACATATGTATCTATAAGTGACAAGAGACTCTCTTGACCAAATTGGGAAGCTAGAAAAGAAAAGGTAGAAAGATGAGAAATTCTTGGCAAGAGAAAGATTCTATAATAAGGCCAAAAGGCAACTGATAGGTTTGGAAATACTTGTAGCATCGATGACAGTAGAGGTATTTTGTTTTCTTGTGTACTTCTATAATGTGACAAAAACAAAGACAACAAACTAATGGAAAAGTGAATAGAGAATTAGGACAGGAAATTTACACAG